TCCGCGCCCCACGTGGCCGCCGCGCCCGAGCGCCCGCGCGCCCCCTTGCGGCGCGGAGACAGCGGCCCCCCGGACGCCCGCGGCTTCCACGGCCCGCTGCCGCGCATCGTGAGCTCGGGCGACGAGGAGCCGGCCGACGAGCCGGCCTTGGGCCCGGGCCCGGCCCCGGGCCGCGCGCGCTCGCGCTCCCCGCCCGCGCCGATCCAGGTCATCGCCGAGGAGGAGCCCGACGCCCCGGGAGGCCCCGGCGAGGCCCTGGACCCCGAGCTGCTGCTGGCGGACAAGGTGGCCGCGGGGCTGGAGGATCGCCTCTTCCCGGGCTGGCGGCGGAGGCCCGGGGACGGCGCCGAGCCCCCTGCCCACGGCCCTGCCCCGGTGGTGGCGGCGGCCGCGCCCACGTCCCCGGACCCCAGCCCGGTGTAGGGAGCGCGAGGACGGACCAGGGGCGCCCGCCCCCTCGGGCCGCGCCTGCTGAGGCTTCGGATCCCAGCGGTCTGGGGGCCCCCCGGGGCACAAGCCCCCTCTCGCCCGGGCCCCCCGCGGCGGCCGCCGTGCCGGCGGCAAAGGGGGAAGGCGCAGGCCGGCCCCCCAGGCCAGACGGCAGGCGGAGCGGAACGGGCACGGGGCCCGTTGAGGCCGGCGCTTAGGGCGCGGCCCGGCCCAGTCCAGAGGCCCCAAGGAACTGGACCGATCCGGCCCCGGGCCCGGCCCGGCCCTGGGCGAGCTAGCCGAGGCCCAACGTTTACCTCACGGCGTGTTCCCGGTGTAGCCGCCCCGTCCACTGTCCCGCCCGCTCCATTTGCTTTATTATTTTTTGGGACAAGCAATAACATCCCCTTCCCCCCATTGTCCTGTGGCCCCCCTCCGTGCAGCGGGGTTCGGGGCAACCCTCCGCCCCCGCCTCCTGTCGCTGCTGTATTGCTGCTGGGCCCGACCCCAGCCTCGCCGACCCCAGCCTGGCCAAGCCCAGCCCAGAACCCGCCCCACTGGGGCTGTGAGGCCTGGTCCTGGAGCTGCTTGTTGCTGCTAGCCCTTCCCCGCCCTAAAAGCATCCCCCCTCGGTTCTGAAGCCCCTTCCCGAGCGGATCCCCCTCCCCGCCGGCCCCTCCTCAAGCAGATCGTTCCGGCTGGGCTGAACTGCCCTTCCGCGACCCCCTTTCTCGCAGACCAGCCCCACCTCCAGCTGCTGTGCCAATTCTGCACCCTTTGCCAAAACGGAATATTAGAGGGTTAGAGCTGGAAGGGGCCTCGGAGACTCTGAGTCCTGCTCCATCGGCCCCTCACCCTACTGAGGAGCAAACCCCAGCTAGCCAGGGGCAGAGCCAGGACCCCTGGTGCAAGAGGGTCTCCTGATTAACTGGTCCAAAGCTTTCCGTAAGCCCCTCCCTCTGCCTTGGCTAAGGGGCCCCCTGGCCTTTCCTTAGAGGGTCACTGGCCAGGACCTAAGTCCTAGCCCCCCAGAAGAAACGAAGGGGGCTCCAGCGCTGTCTGCCCCATCCTGTCCGGGGAGATGGGTGGCTAACGTTAGGATAAAGCCCATTGAGGACAATGCTTCTTTCTCATCACTAACCCCTTCCCAACAGTCCAAGGAAAAAGGTCCTCCTGTCGGACAGACCTGCTGCTGCTGCTTCTCTTTCCTCACGTAACTGGTCGGAGGAATCTGCCCTCCTAGCCCATCCTTAGGGGCTTCAGGTGGGGGTGGGGTCACTGCCTGACCACCAGTGTCAATCCTGGGCTCCAGTGGCCTGTTGGAGGGTCTCTTAATCTTCTGCCACCTACTCCCAATTGAATGAACAAAGTTTTTGTTGTTGTTGTTGTGTTAAATTATTATTTATTATTATTATTGCTTCCTAATCACCCTCTCCCCCTTCCCTGGCCTAGCCAGCCAGGTTTGTTTTTCATGGAAAGAAAACAAAACAAAACTGTAAATCTGTTATCTGTAAGACTCCTGCTTTGGGGGGCCAGGAGGGACTAGCGTCCCACCTAACCCCTCTCTCCTGGGGATGTCCTCCACTCACTCTGCCTGGGGGGCTTCCCCTTCCTTCTCCTGCTTCAATTTCTGCATGTGAACAGACACTTTGCAGGGTCCCATTTTGTTTCTCCTTCCTCTTTAACTGTTTGTGAGTCTCTGTCGTTCAAAGCACTTGAAAAAATAATCCCTGGTTTTGTTTTTTTTTTTTAAACCCAAGTAAACCCACTGAGGTTAAGAGTTTTTCTAAGCTTTAGTGCCTGGCAGCCTACAATCTAGCTGCCTGAAGTTCCATTCACCACCCCCCTCCCCCCAAAAGTGCTTTGGGCCTAGTTTGTGCGCTTGAGTCGAATGCTGGAATTTTTTTCAATTGAGTTTATTAAAAAGATTACTATACACTTATCCCCAGGGTTGTTGCTTCTGTGCTGTACAGGTAATGGGGAGGGGGCAGCAAAAGGAGAGTGGGGGAGTCAGCATTCCCTGGCATTTTTTAATATCACACCCTAAGAGGACTGTCTAGGATTGGGTACAGGGAACTGGGAGAAAAGGCCTTCCCTTCAGCAGCAGGAATCCTGAGCTGGTGCCCTGTCTTATTCTTTTGGCTAGGCAGTGGGTTCAGTAACTTGCCCCAGGGTTACACAGCTAGTAAGCTAGCTAGTATGGCCGAATTTGAACTCAGGTCCTCCAGGGCCAGTGCTCTATCCACTTCACCACCTAGCTGCCTCTCCCTGTCTCTTCTCTGATAGAAGAGATAAGGAGCTAGAAGGTCATCCCACCCAAAATCCCTTATTTACAGAAGGTAAAGCGACTTGTCCTATGCCTAGCAGTAAAGACAGTATCTGAACCCCTATTTTCTAACTCCATGGAAGGAACTTATGGGGTCAGCAATTAATTCACATCATGTGAAGTATTTCCTGAAACAGATAAAAAGGTCTAGTTCCTATTAGCAAGAACCGTACTTGGGGAAGATGCTTGGAGAACTCCGGTATGAGGTGTCCTAAGCCAGTATGTTTGGGGCCTAGAGGAAATCCTCATAAGTCTTAGGATCACTTCTAATGACAGGGAGCTCACTCTCTCCCTTAAGCATCTCCTATTGCAGGACTGATTTGATTGTTAAAAGTCCTTCGAAATGAAACCAAGCTTCCTGGTCATTCCACTGAGTGCAGTTCTTTTCTTCAGAGCCACCTAAAACAGGCTTGTTCTCTTGAGGACCCCTAAGATCTTAGAGAACCCACCCCCTATGGTTCTCCCGTTTATTTAGCTAATCCTCATGAGGCTTGGTGGCATCCCTTTCGCATATTGCCTTCAGCATATGTCTTGTGTAGAACTGGAGGCGGTGGGAGGGCCTCTGGGTCTCCAAAAACCCCCAACATTCACCTGGTCCCTGTACTACCCAAGGATGATTGAGACCTCAGCATGAGGGAGTTCCCACAGCTAGAATAAGAGGAAATCTAAAAAGACACTGAGTTTATCCTGGGGTGTCCTTCCTAAACCACATTGGGAAGATTACACCAGGAAAAAGTATTGTCCTGACAAGGTTCACAGCCTTGGAGAGTTGGAAGGAATCTTGGAACACAGCAGAATGGTAATGAGGCTGAAATAGAACCAACCCAACCCAATTATACAGATGAGAAAACAAGCCCAGGGAAGGGGAGGGATTGGTCCAAGGTCACACTGCAAGGAAGTAGCAAAGGGAGACCTTGAACCTGGATTTTGTGACTCAGAGGCTCTTTTGCTCCATAAAACCTTAAGAGGTGAGAGATGATGGGTGTGCCCCACAAACCCCTTTCAAGAATTTCCAGACAGCTCCGATGACCACAGCTCAAATCCACCTCTGTTTTATTTTTTCTTAAAAAAAAAAAAAAAAAAGTAGCCACTCAAAGTCTCCCTCTCTCAGCCCTGTACAGCATGCAACAGTTTTTTTTTTAATAGGAGATGTTCATTTTTTTAATACCTGTTTCTGTTGTTTTGTGATTTGTTTAAACATCACAATATGTGGGAGAATCTCTAATATATCGCAAAGTAAAAACAAAAATAAGGGGGGAAAAAAAGATACCAGTAGTTTAAAACATAAAGTGCATTATGATGGCTTTGCACAGAAGTTGTCCACCTTTGGAAGGGCAGGGCAGGGTGGGGCACGCTCTCACTGGACAGCTGGACTTGGCTGGTAGAAAACAGGATGGATGGACAGTCAGGTAGGACGGATGGATGGGAGCAGAGAGAAGAGCTGTCTCTGCTTCCCTCCCAGAGTTCCTTCCTGGTGCTTCTCCCGTCGCCTTGGGGAAGGGGGAGCAGAGCAGGATGGAGATGCTGAATTGGGGGTGGGGTGATTGGCAAAAGGCGCTGTTCCAGTAGGTGTGTGGGGGGATGCAGTTGGGAGAGGGGAACATCTGGAAAGGCCTATGTCCAGGGCCCATCTGTCTTCCTCCTGGGCCCGAGCAACCTGCAGCTTGTCCTCTCCTCAAGTCTGAGAACTGATTGGGGTGGGTGTGGAGATTTCATTTGCCTGTGGAAAGGCTGGGTGAGGGAACAGGATGTGTCCAAGGCGAGAAGAGGAGATGCAGAGAACAAACAGCCTGGCCCACAGAGCCCCCGAGACAGGATACTGAGGAAGAGATGAATGGAGAAGTTAAAACGGGCCTCTGGAGAAGGACTAGCCATATACTCGGCCCTTACCAGGGGCCGGCACTTGAACTCACAGCCCCAGCCTTGAGCTCCCCAAATCCTCACAGAAGCTCTGCAACAGGGGCCCAGCGGTGCTGCCTCAGTTTCCACTACTCTACATCTGCCTGCATCACATTCAGTAAACTTACCTTAAAGAACCTGAGACGGTGTTATCATTTAATATCTTTGACCCAGTTGGAGGAAACTGAAACTTAGAAAAAGGGTCAAAGTGGACACCACTAATCTGTACATAAGGATCCCTGCAGACTTCATACTCACTCAGTTTTAAGATGTAATATCATCGATGTTTTATTATATTTCCATTTATTTTGTTAGATATTTCCCAGTTCTCCTTTAATCTGGTTTGGGCTGCACAGACCTCATGGTTCAAGACCTATGACTCTGGAGGACTAAAGATTCCAAATCCCTCATTTTATAGAGGAGGAAACTGAGGGATCCCATCTGAGTGGGGAAGGTGGGATTCCTCCTGACTCTCACTTGAGCCGTGGTAACCCTGACTCCAGATCAGCACCTGACCTCCTCCCCTTTGCACAGAGGTAGAACCAGGGCCCCATGGCAGCTGTCATTTCTCCAAGGCCAAGATTTCGATAATCAAGGCATCTGCACAGAAAAGGCATCTCTTAAGCAGACCTATTCAGATACCTCACTGGTAGGAGGGTGCTTTGTTCTGAACCTTAAATTTCTGGGGGATTTTTGTGACCACAGAGGCCTCTCTGAGCTTCAGGAAGGGACCCTGGAAGGTTATTTGGTTCAATTTTCATTTTCAACT